TATGTATAAAGACTGCAAAGACTAAAAAATCTTGAAGTCTGGATGAAATTGGAGGAAGTTTGAGGATTAAATTTTTAAAGCTTTTTAAGCTCAAAAGGGGGGAGGGGGTCGTACATGTTTACCTTTTAACATTTAGCCACGATGTTTACGTTCAGCTTTATGTTACAATTTAACATTTAAATTATTATTTAGCAAAAATTAGCAAAATAGAACAGTCAGCTAAATAATATGATATAGCTACAAGTGGAATTTTTTTAAACTAGGATTTTATGCTCAGAAAGTGAGCTAAATAATGAAAATGTGTTAGTGATAGTTTTAAACATTTTAYTTTAAACTTGGYGCCTCATATGTGGCTAGCTCTTTAAATTTTAGTTTTTTCTCTCCTATTCGTTGTTATCTGTTTTTGGTGTTTAGCCTGAGGTATTTATCATCACCTTTTACACCAGAGTTTATATCGAAAATCATCTTGTGTTGAGAAAWACTCACAATATCATGAAATTCTTTTGATACTTTGAATTAATGCCATGAATAATGTTGCAAAAAGGAGAAAAAGTTAACTTCTTCACTCTTTAACCTCAATTTCTTTCATGTAGAAATTATTTCATTGCGAAAAAAAGTGTTCCTTCAAGTATAATTAAATCTTTAGCCTTGCTTGCTTTAACAATCAAAGCTGAGGCATCCATGTGATTCCTGCCAACGGCCTCCAGAGAGAGCCACTGATCWTCAGCCTTGAGGAGGTTTGAGTCCTCTGCTGAGCTGAGAGGGACGTGGATAATACCCACCGACRGAAAACACTTCATCTGCAGCTGAATCTGAAAAGAAAGTGGAGACAAACACATGAGCCGCTCAAGTTAAAAAGCCCGGTGTCAAGGATGGAAAGTATAACGGTATTAAAGGTGATCTCCATAATCGGAGCACAATATTCGGCGTTGATTTGTTTTCAAAAGGTCAAACTAGTGAATGATCCAGTTTGAGTGATTCTGATGGAGCAGATGGGTTCAAGGGACTCAGGAGCGTTTGACTATCTTCAGTTTCCAAAAGCAAACTGAGCTTTTATGCTTCCATCAGTTCAGGTTCCTCCACAGGTCAGGAAATCTATTGGAAATTAAATCATTGCTTTTATTTAAAACAAACTTACACAAAGATGAAGAATTCCTCTTTCTAACCATGATTAACATTAACCTAAAACCTTTAAAGCATTAAAGAGGCACCAGCAGCTACTTTCAGATGTTTTACCTGTAAACTGAATAATGTGCTTTTATTCACGTTAAATTCTTGTACGTTTAATCACAGGACGCGGCTTCTTTTCTTAATTGACCCAATCGTTAAATAAAGACCCACGTTCAGACCTTCAGAAATTCTTGAGTTATTAGGAGTTTATAAAAGCAGTTRTAATTACATTTGAAAGACAAACTAAATTAAATGGATCTTGAGCGACATGGCGACACGTTTGCTCCTGTGGTGAAAATGTTTTTGTTCAAACTGATATTTCAACCAAATCTGAGTTTTTTGATGGATCTCTAGCCTGGCCCTTGCCTTCCTACGCAGCTCCGCTCAATTCTAGTTTCCCTTCACTGCTCCGTCTGGGACTTCTCCCATTGAGACGGATTTCACTGGCAGATTTTTAGCCGGGCCAATCAGAGAACAGAACGTCAATTTTCTGCGCAATGTCTCGTAGTTTATTTTACCTGGGCCAATCAGCAAACAGAAGGTGGAGTTTTGAACGACGTTGACTTTCTGCGCAGTGTCAGTTAGTTATTTTAGCATACGGCAGTGGAGGAAGTGAATGAAGCCAGTAAAATTAAATTAAATTTGTCTGACAATCAGCAGTTCTCATTTACAGTCGTCTCGTTCAGCTCAGTACTTCTCTCCTCTCAGTAGGGTTGTTT